TCGAACGAACCGTTGGCTCGCTTCTCTCCCCATCTAACACGAGCTGACGTCGATTGGCCGACGAGCTGAAGAGAGAGGTGCTTCTCGCAGCTTCCTCGCGGCTCGCACGTGCCTCGAATGAAACGCACGCGTGCACGCGCGACGCACTGAGTCACCGGGGGACTTTGAACCGAGCATCCTGCCCGCCGAAAAATCCAGACTACTAATGCCGAAGAGGTGAATGGAAGAGAAGTTCGGTGGAGCCTTTGGTCGCGTGGGATTAAAGGTGAACGATTCCTTGAGACTCTGTCACGGTGAAATAGCTGAAGTTTTGGATTTAGATGTTTTTGGGGAATTTGCGGAATCGTCGAGTGTACCGAATTGTGCGATTTGTGGATTTTTGGGTGAATTGGAATTTTTCTGTGATCAAAGTGTTTAGTTTCATTATGGATAATTTGGAAAATTGCAATTTTTGAGAGTAAATGTAAGAGTGTGGCTGTTGAAACTCTTGAGTAGAGAATTTAGAATTTCCTGGCGGATGCATAATTGACGAGTGCACTGATTCGGTATGCCTTCCGAATTGCGAAGAAAAAATTCGACAGACTATTCCAAGGAAGAAGAACGTGCATACTAAATCTACATTTTAAATACAGAACAAGTTTGCACAGTATTGTAACACGTTACACGTATTAAAGCTGTTAAAGAAGAAGGGTTGAAGACGGGAAATAACCCTTTGGTGATTGATGATGCAGCGGTCGCGTTTAAGGAGCTGGGTTATAAATGAATCTTTCGTGATAAATAGACCAGCGATCGTATTTAAGAAAATTAGACTTATCAATCATAATTCCGTGTCGTACTCGAGTTATTAACTTATCTCTCGTTTATATTCCAAGGACCGAGAGAACGAGAAAGTTTCAGCGATTAGCTCGAAGAGCAGCGTAGAAAGGGTTAACCAAGGTTGTTCTAATCAATGTACCAATCCTTTCGATACACACCTGGGAATCTTGTTAGCAGCGTGAATTTTTCACGCGTTGCACGTGCCTCGAATGAAACTCATGTGCGGCTGCTATCGATCGACGTGGCCACCTTCGTGTTCGTTGTGTAAACGTGCTACCTTTTAGAATACGTTAATCTCTCTGCCTCCCTTCGTGGACACTGTTACCTTCTTTGCGCCAGACGTGATTCCTCTAACGAATCGAACAAACGAGCAAACACACGCTCTCTTTCTCCGTCGGAACGCGCTCTCGACGCAAATCTGTCGATCTTTCATCTTCTCTGCGTGCTTTCCTCTTGACGACATGATAAAACTTCTACCCCGACCCCGGGAAGAATATAAAAATGCAGGAAGAAAGGCCGGGGAAGTCGTTGAAACGTCCGACGGAAACGATATAAAAGCCGTCTTTCGAGGCTTTTATATCCGCGTCCATTTAAATCCTCGTTCGCGAAACGAGAGCTACAAAGTCGGAAGTGACCCAGGTTCCGTGCAACGCCGGCGTTGACTTACCGTCGAACCGAAGAAGGACAAGATCGCATTACTTGCCGGAGCAACCCCCGAAAAAAAAAAGATAGAAAGAAGAAGGACGACGCAGGGGAAAAGAGAGAGGAACGCCGTACGTCGGGATTTAAGGCTCCATAAATCCGCTCGGGAGCATCCCTTAAGCCCTATACGCGGTGGTCAGTCGGCTTTTACCAGATTGTATTCAGCGATATCTCCCGTTTCGACCCTCGACTAAACGCCTTCCACCTGACTCCGTTTAATGGACCACCAGCTCTATTCCTCGATCGCGACGAATTTACGCGCGGACGCTTAACTCTCCCGTGCTCGCTGACAGCGTTCTCCGAACGAGCGGAATTTTCTGGGGAGATTGAATTCTTCCGTGAATTCTCCGAGTGAAATTGAAGGAGAGGAGAGATCGGGACTAGGGATGATAAGATTGACGTTGTTCTTATCCGACGTGCTTTCGCGGGATTAAGTGAATTTAGTGGAGGAAAGGGGATGCCTCGGGAGACAGGATGATGTAAAGCATGTGTGTTAACTTTTGGGAGATTGATGGAAACATTTATTTGCCAGTGTTAAAATATTATTAAAAATATATCGAATTTTAGCTATTTAAAATGTACGTGTTCACAGAGGCTTTAGGACCGTTACTAAGCAAAAGTATCTTTCCTCTGTAGATCCTAATGATTTTTATTAGAGTGAAAAATAATTGAGGTCTTCGATGGAAAGAGGGTGCATACGCCAAAGTGTCATTTGAAGTTTTCGTATGCAATTGGATCCAAAACAGAAGTAATACGTCACATAGACCCAAGTGCCCTTTTGTCAGAATTCCTTCCAATGCTTCACCGTATCCATGACTAAAATCACCAAAAATATTCGAACGAGACGTCGTGTATCCACAAGTAAATGGGTTTCGAGAAACCTAAGGAATCGAACTTCTAGCAACTTCGTTCCACCAATCGAATCAGCCTCTCCTCTCTCTCCGCCGAGCAACTTCACAGTAGAACAAAACCCTAATACCCGAAGCTGAGGAGAACGCAGGAAACTCCGGTAGATCACAATTGAGGATCGTTTGTCCAAGCAAGAAGAGAAAAAGTGCAGTAGTCTGGCATCGAAGAAGAGATTCACCAGCTTCCAGCAAATAAAATAACGGATCTCGAAGGAAATTCTTCCACGATTCAAACGAAATTGAAACATTAAAGAGACCAAGTAGAAGACTATCTCTCTTCCTCTCTTTCGACTGGTTTAACTTGGAACCACCGATACGAATACGGTCGTCGCTCATTCTCGAAAGTTCGAACCGATGGCTGTGGCAATTCGTTATCGACGTCGATAAGCGCAGCACAGGCACATCGAGTTAAATCGCGTGAAATACTGCTTTCGGCACATTGGTCGAGCGCAATTATTGATAGGGCCAGGCGGCGGTGGACTCTCGCAGCAGAGAAGCGTAGGAGGAGGCCTCTCCTAGCCGCGCACAGAATCGAAAGGGTGCAATCAATGTACCGTGGAACGCTTCGATTTAAATTCATGAATAATTCCTCCCACCGGAGCCCTGGTCGAAGATCGACGAGCTCTCTTCCATCCTCTTCCGTTATTTTTTTCTTTTCTTTTTTTTTTACCCCGCTGGATATCCCTCCTCTCTGCCCTTCTCGGTCGAATCCAAGAGCTTGCGTCTCTTGGTTTAATCAAGGAAATGTCGGACATGGAACACAGCGGAATCTCGTTCGATTTTAGATAGAGATCGCGTGATGGTTTGAAGAGGTTCGCGTGGGATGTGACGATCGAATTTGGGGATTAGAAATAACCGATAGTAAGGAAAAATTGTTGTGTGGTCGATGTAGGTTATCGTCGAGTGAACAATATTTTCGTGCCTCTCGATTCTCCGCTTATTAGTATATATGCGATAAAAATAATTGGTGAAATGATAGAATTGTAGGTTGATGGAAAATTTGCTCGTAGAAATGGTTCATTAAAAACCGTCATTTCGGAAAATCGAATTATCAGAAAGCAATCAGCGTTCGAAATTTCATCCCCATCCCCTTGTGCACAGAAATTGTAGGCGCATCTGCTATTTTCTCCCCAAAAATCGTCGAAATTGCGATACAAACATCGTGGATGCATAAATTCCTATTACGAAAATAAAATAAACGAATCTACAAAATAGGTAAATGCATCTACCGATTCTCAGAGGGTGCAATTTATTTCCGTTCTTCCATGTAATTCGAACAAGATCGATTCTACCGTAAAATCCTGTAACGAACGACCGTTCACGTGAACAATCCTTGTCCGATGTGTATGTATAGACGTTCAGTTTGCGTAAGTGTACGAAACATTCGAATGAAAATAAAAGCAGGAGAAACGATGAAGAAATCGTGGACGAAAGTTACATCGTCGAAAGCATCCCTTGGAGAGGTGGTGGATCGACGTTATCCTAACGGGAAGACGCTCGTAAATAGGACGTATTTGCCTGGATGTTTTATTTGCTCGTTAAGCTTCTTTTTTTACGATTCATTTCGCGTGCCGCGGAGGCGCCGATAAATCTGCTCGCTTGTGCTCGTTCGAGTCGAAAAGCGTCCACGATAAAATTCGCCAGAGTCTCCAGCGCGTCTAGAGGGGCGGACGTAGCATTGAAAATTATCATGAACGCGAGGGGAGAGAGAATCACAGCTCGCTCGGTGAACATCTGCAAACAGAGGAAGAGGAGAGACTGAGTTAGAGAAGGGAGAGACGGGAGAGACTGAGAGAGAGAAGGGAGAGACTGAATGCGAGAATGAGAGGAAGAGAAGGGAGAGACTAACACAAAGTGGGAGAGAGAGAGAGAAGAGAGTGAAGGGAGAGACTAATGATGAGTGAGAAAAGGGAGAGACTGAGAGAAAGAGAAGAGAGAGACTAACAATAAGTGACAGAAGGGAGAGACGGGAGAGACTGAATGCGAGAATGAGAGGAAGAGAAGGGAGAGACTAACACAAAGTGGGAGAGAGAGAGAGATGAGAGTGAAGGGAGAGACTAATGATAAGTGAGAGAGTGAGAAAAGGGAGAGACTGAGAGAAAGAGAAGAGAGAGACTAACAATAAGGGAGAGACGGGAGAGACTGAATGAAAAAATGAGACAAAGAAGAAGAGATAGACTAACAATAAGGGAGAGAGTGAGAGAAAGAGCGAGTGAATGAACGAGTGAGATGAGAGAGAAAAAGATATGCGGCTGGACGTGGAGGAAGATCAATGGACTTGAAGAGAAATGAATTTGCACATGAATAAGACTGGATAGCTCGAGCTCGAGTTCTTGGTGACTGTTATGGAGGGCAGTGGGACGACGATCGTGGATGATTCAAAAGGGGGGAACTGATTTGATGGAGATTGAATAATGTCGGGTAGAAAGAGGATAGGACGTACACGTATAGGTTCTGTTAGGTTTCTTTGTTTTAATAGAGGCTCTTCGCGGTTAATGTCACAGAGATGCATGTTAAAGGGAGAGATAAGGTTCGTTAGTTTAACTGACAGAGACGCTGGTTTGGCTGTTACAGAGAGAGGCTACGCAACGAGATGTGGAACGCGAACGACGACAACGAATGGAGGCCGAAGCTCGGGTACGCGAGGCTACGGCTGAAGCTGAGAGAGCACGCTCCAGGGTTCATCATCTTCAGAGAGAGCTGGCCAGGTAAGGAGCACCTTTTATTTAATAATAAACTAGCTTAAACCACCTGTCGTTTTATGAGCTTCTCGTATCTCGAACATCAGCATTCGTGGAAATATGAACATCCACCGATAATACGTCGAAATTAACTCACAGTCATGTGCAATTTACAAATTCACGCGGATAATTTTTTGTTCTAATCACCCGCTATACACGATATTTCAAGTATCAAGGGGATGAAATCAGGGGAAAGGGACAAGATCTCTTCGGATACCCGGTTCAATATTTTCGACAAACATTCTACAACTTGTGTCACAGAAGTATAAAATACCACATTTAAAAAAACAATCCATTTTTCCAGAAAACCGAGTTAAAAAAATTGCTCCCAAAATTCACTGACGCATCAATTACACTTTTAATTTCCCCACGCGCGGTGTTTTTACAGCACGTTCCAATTTAATTAAAAAACATGAAGCTTACACGTAGAAAGAGAAAAAAAAAACTCCGGACCCATTGGTGGAAAAAGAAGAAACAAAAAATACGTGTATCGAATATGAATCGAGAGAGAGAGATGGAGTAGTCGAGATCGATGGGATACAGGGGAGAGAGTTGCGCGTGTGTTTAATCAGTTTCCATCGGTTTCAAGTGAACTCGTGAATTTCATCCGGCCATTTTAAATTGACTGCAGCATTTAAAAAAAGAAAAATGTAAAAAACACAGAGAAATACATACGTACATCGCGACAGTGTCGATTTACGATGAATCTGGTACTCAACGTTATATCCCCATACTCAGTGGTCACGTGAACTCGAATCAAGGTGTCCAATGAACCACAGAGAACTCTGGCTCGCTTCGAGTCCTGTTTATACGAGAATCCACGGTCTCCGTCGATAGGCAGGAAAAGAGAAACCAGGCCTGTAAATCGATGCGGTTGCCAAACATCCGGCAATAATTCGAGGCGCTTGTCCGACATCGATTTCTCCTTCCTTCGCCTCACTCCCCCTGTCTCACCGTCGACTCTCTATCCCCTTTACACCACACACGTGTGTGTGTGTGTGTGTGTATGTGTTTGCATCAGGGTTCGCGAAAATCGCTTATTTCATCGAGCCGCAGACAGCACTTTATTTCCCGTGCACCAGCTCGCCGGAAAAGTATCGCCGCGATATAACGTATAAATAATGAGACCGCGTTTCCCACGCAATAACTAGCGGATTTCATGGTAAATCATCGATACTGGCGCTTCTCCAATAACGTATCGCGCGAATAGCCCAACCACCCTCTGCGGATGTACAAGGTGTATCCTGGCTAGTCTGTACAAATATCTCTATTAATTCGATTAATAAGGGGATATATTGCTTAGACGTGTTTTATGGCTGCGAGAAAGACGTAACGTGGTAGCAATAGATCATTCAGGGTGGAGACGTAGGGGAGATCAATTTCATTTTTTCAAATGAAACGTCCAATTTTTTTAGAGATAGTGGCGTGAGAGAGATCTGGAGAGCAATTTTTTTTTTTCAAATGAAACGTCCATTTTTTTTTTTTTTAATGGAGGCATAGGAGAGATTTGGAGGTCAATTTTCTTTTATTTTTCAAATGAAACGTGGAATTTTTTTTAGGGATGGAGACAGAAAATATCTTTTTAAAATATCATTTTCGAATGAAATGTCCACTTGTTTTTAGGGATAGAGACGTAGGCAAGATCTAGAGATCAATTTTCTTTTTGCAAATGAAACATCGAAATTTTGATTGTCAAATTTAATAGAACAGCGAATTCTGCGCAAGGTAGATTTATCTTAAAACTAGTCATTCCTTGATCACCAACAACTCTCACCCCCGCTCTGAACCTTTCGCAAGGTACGATACGAATCGCGATCGATCAAACGGTAGATAAATCGTGAAAATTCTACCTAGAACAACGTTTACACTCTCGTTGCCCCCGCTGTATCGCACAGATTACCGTGTGTCCACGTTCAATCACGAGATTCGCGTGTTTGTTCGACACGTCAACCCCCGCGACTCGCGGAATGTTTCACGTTTTCCGGTCTGATTGGGGGATTGTTTTGCGGTCGTTTAGCATGACGACACGACGAGAATTTATATCGAAACGGTATTTATCCAACTACTTTTCCAAATACATTTACTCTTTTCTATTCGAACGATTTTACGAATTTTTCACTCTTATTTTCGAATTCCTTATTCCACGGAGAAATGTGTAATAGCGAAGGATAGCATATGGCCGGAAGGCGAGAGGTCGACGATAATTCTTTCATATTGGACCTTTCCCGATGACAAATCTCGACGTCGGAAATGGTATCAACCGGATATATTACCGGCGGATATCGGAAACTGGAACTGTGACGTTAAATCATAAGAGGTTGTTCGTTTCGCTAAAGCAATGGTTCTCAACGAGGTACGCCGTGAGAGATCAAAAATCGCTAGATCTAGGAACAAAATTTCATTTATACATCCAATTTTAATCCTTAAATATGAGTTACTCCTAAACTACCTGCTACCTGAAAAATGATTCTTTCGTACCGTGCTCTTATTTATTCGGTTATAAGGCGTCACGGTCTTTTTTCAACCCAATGGGAATGGGATAAAGAAGGCTCCTTTTTTTGACTGATTCTGTGTTAAACAGGGCTGCTTATATATATTTTTCCGTAGCTGTAGGTTCGAGAAAAAGATCAATCAACGCTTTTCCCAAAGTAAGGTCCCTTCCGCGAGTTTCTATTGGCAGGTAAAGACCGGCGTCGCAGGTCAACGTGGGGGGTCGTCGGTCGCGTCAATTTTTCAAATTTTTTGAAATAATTTCTTATCTTGAAATAATTTCAAGATAAACGTAATTACTTCTTCTGCAGATCAACGAAATAACTATAACCACAGTTCTATCTGTCCACGCAAAGTGTACACCAGTTGTACACACATTTGCAAAGAGGTACATCGCGCATAAAAGATCTGAGAATCACTGTGGCAAGGGATCGAGTTCACGATCGGAACAAAAATCGGCGCTGGTCGAAAAATCGTACTGAAAGCTTCTCGATGTGATATAAATCACGAACGATACACCGGTAGTTGTAAAAGAGAACTGCCAATATTCGAACAACTTCATACACCTTACTTTCATCTAGACGCACTTCTACGTTCGATTCGTTTTATCATTAATCAAAACGCGTACCGTATAACCGATCGCGTGTTGCATATCTTCTTATTTCCTCACCGCGAACAAGAAACGGATTAAAACAGTCCGTTAACAAATCTTATCTGTTCTTTATTTTACGCTTTGCACAGGATGGTAACGTCGATGTGTAACGATCGAACCGCGGAGAATTTATGGTCTCTCCACGGTAGCGCAGCGTGGCCTGTGTTCGATTAGAGAAATCGATTTCTTTTGCTTTCGCGGGGAGGAACTTGAAATTCAGAGACGTGAAATCGATCGAACGAAAAATGTGGGAAAATAGAGAAAGAAGTAGGAAGTGGAACTTTCGTTCGTTATTATTGTCCCTTTAATATACGCGATCGACTATTGCCGCTGCAACGAGATCCCCAAGGATCGAATAATTGCTTAATTATCCGCGATTCATTAGTCATGTCCAATTACACGCGGCGAGGCATTAAACGGAGTATCAAGTGCGGTGTAAAATACAACGTTAAATCGCCGCCGCCTAGCCTGTAAATGGCGCAAAATTTCATTCCCACGTTCGATTGTAGCCGCGCGAAACACCGTGGAAATAGGCCGGGGCTATTCAATTTCGAAAATTTTAATCGACGCGACGCGCTTGCCAGTCTGCGCGCCAACCCGAAATAGATTGTTTTCCGGTGAATTCGCTAAGCTTGTAATGCCCGGGATTAACGGTCGCAATTTCGACTAATTGAAGTTCGCCGAATATGGGATCAGTTTTTTTCTTTTACATTCGAGCAAGGATTAGCAATTCTGCGCTTTGACAGTGTTTTTTGGGGAATAGTTGGACGTTTCTTGCGAGTCATTTTTTTTTGTAAGGGTTGCTTCAAAGTGTTACTCGTTTCTTTTCGTGAAATAAAGATTAGTTCACTTTCATGATAAACACCAGGGGGAATCGGTCTTTGTTATTCATGAATTAACCCTTTCGTGACCAAGTAATTGTTTATTTACCAGAAACGATCGTCGTGTCTGTAATCGATACTAAATTGTGATCAATTTTTCCTCGAGTATACTCAAGTGATAGTTAAGGAAGTTAACCCTTTTGCTACGGCATAATAAACATCCGGATAATCCGAATAACGACGAGGTATTCCTATTAAACCCAAAAAATGCTGCGGAAAAAATGTAAAATTAACCCCAATTAATATTATTAAAAACTGAGATTTTAATCACTTCTGATTTATTATTAAACCTCTTAATAAAGGATATCAATGAATAAATCTACCAATAATAGCAAATACTGCCACTATAGACAAAACATAATGAATATGACCAACAACATAATAAGTATCATGCAAAATAATATCAATAGATGAATTAGATAATATAATACCAGTTGATCCTCCAATAGTAAATATTATAATAAAATCCAGTGTCCACAATTTTGAACCATAATATGTAGCCAATCAACTGAAAACTTGAATTCCTGTAGTAACTGCAATAATCATAGTAGCTGAAGTAAAATAAACTGTAAATATATGATGAGCCCAAACAATAAATCCCAAGGAGGCTGACGGTAAATTTTCAACTACGGCTGCAAAATTTCTCATTTTGGCCGCATCGTTTTAAAATTCGGTTTGTCGAGCGCGGTGGAAGTGCGTAAAGGATAAAATGAAGTATTAAATTATGGTGCAAGTGAACCAAAAGGCTCCAACAGTATAGCGCGAATAAATTTTCAAAACGCCTATAGGCGCCAGTAGTAATGAAAGGGTTAAACACACCCCAAAGATACATATTTCTTTCTTTATTTCCAAATGCAAACGCACTGCAGTACACGATACATCTTACCGAAAACAAGAAACTGCATACGATAAACAAAAAAAAAAAATTAGAAGAACGTCGAACA